GCTGGGTCGGACCGGTCCGGGGTTAGGGCTCCCGCTCCCGACCTTCGACGGGGCGCCATTGGTGCCGGTGGCGGAGGTTAGGAGTTTGGGGGTGCTCCTGGACTCCATGTTAACTATGGAAGCCCAGGTAGCAGCCACTGCCAAGTCGGCATTTTACCACCTCCGGCTGGCACGGCAGTTGGTTCCCTTCCTCGACCGGAATGACTTGGCCACGGTGATCCATGCGACGGTTACCTCAAGGTTAGACTACTGTAACGCTCTCTACATGGGGCTGCCTTTGTCGCAAATTCGGAAGCTGCAACTAGTGCAGAATGCTGCAGCCAGGCTGTTGATGGATCTTCCTAGACGGGATCACATCCAGCCTGTGCTGAAAGCGCTGCACTGGTTGCCAATAGCTTACCGGGTTCGCTTCAAAGTGCTGGTCGTTACCTTTAAAGCCCTATATGGCCAGGGACCAGCCTACCTAAGGGACCGCCTTGCCCCACATGTTCCCCCAAGGGCACTACGGTCAGGGACTCAACATCTACTGGCTGTTCCAGGTCCCCGTTCTATTAGACTCAGCATGACCAGGAACAGGGCGTTCTCGGTGGCGGCTCCTATCTGGTGGAATGAGCTCCCAGAGGAGATCAGGGCTCTGCGGGACCTAGCACAGTTCTGCAGGGCCTGCAAGACGGAGCTCTTCCGCCAGGCTTTTGAATAGGAGCCGCCACCACTAGTCCACCACTAGTCCACCAGCAGTCCATCATTAGTGCACTAGTGCACCACCATCGCACTAGCTACCATCTATCCCCCATATATGGACATCAAGATGGGGCATGCACATCTAGTTGCTGCATTATGGGCGAGAACGGGTTGGTCAGGGATAGTCATTTTGCTTTTAGAAATTTTAGAATTTGTACAGATTGTATAATTTGCTATGCATCAATCTGTTTTAAATAGGGTTGTAATTTAATATTTTGTATTGTTTTATGGTTTTATCTGGCAATATGCCCTGTAAGCCGCCCTGAGCCTCCGGGGAGGGCGGGATAAAAATGTGAATAATAAATAAATAAATACTGACCTTTTCCAATCCTGTGGCCACTGTTGCATTTTCCAAATTTGCTGGTAAATTGAATGCAGCACTTTAACAGCATCATCTTTTAAGACTTTGAATAGCTCAGCTGGGATACCATCACTAGCTTTGTTTTTAGCAATGCTTTCTAAGGCCCATTTAACTTCACATTCCAGGATGTCTGGCTCAAGGTCAGTGATTATACCGTTGTGGTTGTCAAGGACATCGAGGTCTTTTTTGTATAGTTCTTCTGTGTATTCTTGCCATCTTTTCCTAATCTCTTCTGCTTCTGTTAGGTCCCTACCGTTTTTGTCCTTTATCATGGCCAGCTTTGCATGGAACGCTCCCTTGATTTCTCCAATTTTCTTGAATAGATGTACATATTTCATTTTCACATTGAATTTATATTCCACCCTCCCTTGCAAGTGGATTTAGGGTAGATTACAACAAAGAATAAAATGATTAAAACAATTTCAGTTTAGTCCAATTAAAATCTCAGTAACATAATTCATAAAATGGCAGAATAAACAATTTAACAAAATCTCCCAGATGAACCCTGTTATGTGTGCCCAAGTTGGATCAGAGTGCTGGGCAATGGGCATCAGACACCACCAATGGTACAAATTGATATAATGCAAATAAAAAGGAATGGGGTGGAGCACAGGGTAGAGCTGGGGAGGCCGATGTAGTTGGACACCTACCACTTCATCCAGAGGCCTGGTGGAACAACTCTGTTTTATAGGCCCTGCGGAATGGTAATAAGTCCTGCAGGACCCTGATCTCACTTGGAAGAATGTTCCACCAGGCCGGAGCCAGAGCTGAAAAGGCTCATGCCCTGGTCAAGGCTAAGTGAATGTCTTTGGAGCCAGAGACTGCCAGAAGATGTTGTTCTGAGGAACATAAAGCTCTTCATGGAAAATATGGGGAGAGACAGTCCTGCAGATATGTTGTGTGGGATCAGCCCTAATTAAAATAAGGTTAGGTTCTGTTACTTCCATCTAGCCTGGAACCACTTGCTTCTGTGTATGTGTGTTAAGTGTCCTCCAGACACTTCTGATTTAGGGAGACCTGCCAACCTAGCAGTTCGAAAGCAAGAAATTGCAAGTAGATAAATAGGTACCACTTCAGTGGGAAGGTAACAGTGTTCCGTGCACCTTGGTGTTTAGTCACGCCGGCCACATGACCACGGAAACATCTTCGGACAGCGCTGGCTCTTCGGCTTTGAAACGGAGATGAGCACCGCAACCCTAGAGTCGGACTCGACTGGCTTTCGAGCAAGGGAACCTTTACCTTTACTTTACCTATGAATGACCTCCAAACATGCTATTGTGAACAGCCTTGTTCAGATTCAGGTGGGTAGCCTGCCTTGGTCTGAAGCAACAGAATAACGTTTGAGTCCAGTGGCACCTTTAAGACCACAAAGTTTACTTCTGGGTATAAGCTTTAGTGTGCCTGCACATTTCTTCAGGTCTTGCAAACTGAAGGCTATGGCTTCCCTGTTTGAGTCAATCTATCTCATGATGTGGGTCTTCCTCTTTTCTTGCTGCCTCAACTTTCCCTAGCGTTATTATCTCTTCCGCTGAGTCTTGCTGCTAACTACCAGCGCATTCGGTGATATATTGACAGTCAGGAATGTGTAGGGCATAGTCCTTCACAGCGCAGTTCAAGCCCTGGAAACGTTTCTGATCAGAACGACCAGTCCTACATGAACGCGTTCCTGGATCGAGGAACACAAAGCAGAGGAGCCTGAGGCCGCGCCAACAGGCAGCTGCTGAACAGGACAGTTAAGAGATCCTAGTAATGACATCATAGAGGACAACGCACCCGTTGGAGCAAAGGCTTTATCGGGCCGCCCAATCCCAATCCTCGTACGTAGCAGGGCCCCTCCCCCTGGGCCGGGGCGTGAGACGCGCGCGCTCATAATGTATAATGGATAGTCGGAGGCCCGGCTGGGCATCTGGCGTTGCCGAGGGCGGGAGCGGGCTCTAGTGATTAATGGGCCGCTGAGGTGAGGCTCCTCCCTCCCCCGCCTCTCGCTTAATGCAACCGGGAGCCAGAGCCGGCGTTATCCGGCGCTTCATCTCCCGGCCTCGTCTCTCTGTTAATACTCCAAATGGCCGCTCTCGGCTCACCCTGTTTACACCCCCCTTCGGCGGACGCCCCCCTGATGAATGGACATTAGCACTTTTTCGCACGACTGTATCAACAAAAAGAGCTGCAGGGCCGCAATAATGGCGGGGAAAGCAAACACTCGGCCGGCCAGATTGACCGCGTCTGCTCTGTGTCCGCCTGATGGATGAGCTGGGCCTGACAGGCCGCGGCTCGGGGCCTTCCCGGCTCAGGCGGGCCCCGCAGCACCACCACCACCACCAGCAGCAGCAGCCTCTTGGCAGGCAGCAGGGCCCACGTCCAGTGCGGAGGGAGAAAGAGACGGGCCGTTTGTCGCCCTTCCAAGCGCAGAGGTGCTCTGAACCCTCAGTTACTGAGCTGGGAAAGCGGGAGGCAAAGGAGGCCCACTGCAGCCCCCAAAGCCTTTGGGGTTCAGGTCTGGGAGGGATCATGTCAGACAGCGCCAGGAAACTACAGCTAAAGGGCGCTCAGGAGGCTGTGTGTCTGTCTGTCCGTCCGTCCGTCCCCCCAATGGTATTCTGTCGGGCTGCAGTTTTGTTCCCTACCAGGGCTGCAGTGTTTTTCGACAGTTGCACAGCCATCACGAAGGCAAAGCGGAAGGCTTGCAGCGGCAGTGCACCTCGACATCTCGAGTGGGGGGGGGGGGGGCAGGCAGGCAAGTGCCTGCGCGCTTTTGAGGCGGAGAGGCGGGGTGGGGGAAAACCAAACCAACCTTCAGCTCATGTGGATGCTCCAAGCCTGAGCCTTCGGAAATGATTCCCACTCAATAACAGATATCTCTTTCGGGGAAATGCTATACAGACCCCAAACGGGACATTGTTGCGTTGTACCAACCAGTTGTGTAGAAGGCTTGCAGCGGCAGTGCACCTCGAGATCTCGAGTGAAGGAGGGACAGGCAGGCAAGCACATGCAGGGAGAGCCAGGAAGGAAGGGTAAATACTGCACATCCAGCCTGATGGCCAGTTTATTTCTAGAAGGCAGGGAGAAGTCGCCCTCAGTAGTAATTGCTACGCCTGAATGTTTTAACTCCTGTTGTCATCCGCTCTGAGCCCGTTCGCGCGGAGGACGGACTATAAACCAAAATAAATAAATAAATAAATAAATATATTTTTTAAAACCCTGAAACTCAAAAATAAACTGGTGGGAGGGTGGGACTTTTTATTCAATGGGGCTTAAGAAAGTGTTAGGATTGCAGCCTAAAAGTACCTTTGGTCTCCTCGAGGTGAATGTTAATAATAGGTGTAAAGTGGATTTCAAAACCCCCGATGTACATTCTTCCCATTGTCAATTTTACAATGATATTACAGATTGGTGTTCCACACACAGACACGATATTCGGTGCAGAATAACCACTGGGTGTGATGATGCTGAACTGGGAGCTGGGTCACCCCATGCAAGGTCGCTGGGTGAATTCCGGCCAGTGGCAAGTTCTCAGCTAACCTTCTTCACAGAGTTGTTGTAAGGATAAAATGGAGGAGAATGATATGAGCCGCTTTGGGTCCCTAGATCAATGAATAAATAATTTGTTTCATATGTTTACAATGTACTGGAAATCACAAATCACACACACAGAGAAAGAGAGAACTCTCTTTTCCTCACCATGGTAAAGAACACTAGGCAAACATACTTCTTGGGCATATTTTTGTCTTTGAATAGCAAAATAATGTGATAACAACTGACCTGAAGTAATTTTGCTTCCAAAATGTGTTGATTGGTTGACTGGCTCATGAAAAGATGAAAAACAAGCTACCTAAATGGACGTTCACTCACAAAACTCACATTTCAGGTAAACTTCAACTAAACTATTAGCAAGCCTGGCCAAATTTTACTGCGCTTGAAAAACTAACTATTTTCTCCTTAAAAAATCCCCCACCCTTTAATTTCTCTTGGGGGGGGGGGAATGACCAGTCCTAGCTTGCAATCTGCCACAGGTCTCTGTTTATAAACCGTGAGTTTCTGATGCCTTGGCACTAATTGAGCGCTAGCACTTCGAGTGTTGTGGAGGTATTAAGAGCTAGAATTCCAGCAACAGGCTATTAGCAGTTCCTTGAGTAAATCTTTGTAGATTTCCGCCGGCTTCCTCCGCCTCCCTCCCCCTTTCCCTTAACTGCAGGAGCTACCGGGGAAAATGGTCTTGTTGACATTGCTTCTGGCTTCTTAACACTTTAGGGGATGTTAGGCGCCAGTTCAAATACACTACACTCTCCTTGCAGTGTATACACTCCTTTTATAAACACAGTTCCTACCTGAGGAAGCTGGCAAATATTTTCTGCATAGATGACAGATTCTGCTTATAACGGACAAAGGAAATTCGTGATGTGTTAGAAGCCACTGGGACAAGAACTTCTGTCAACTTGCAAAACTCCTGTTCATCTCAGATCCCTTTAACTATTAAATAGGAGATATTTCCCCCCTTTGTTGAGTGAAGCTCCCAACAGCAAGCACACAGGAGTTTTTAAAAGGAAAGAAAAAGCCTACTTCAAAGAAAGCCATATAGCTTTTATCGCATGAGAAACTAGAAAGTGGGTATGAGGAAAAGGAAAGCATGGCTTGCGGGATTGGTACCTCTGAAGTACATACATTGTGTCTACCTTTCCGGCTAGGCAGGAAGATTAAATCTTGCACGGATATAGTTGAGAGGTCTACTGATAGTAATTTGTTTTTTAAAAATCTGAAATACAAGAGTGACATTCTAGGCAGTAATCTGCACGCAGTTGATGAAGCAAAAACAAAAAGCTGCCTTGTATTCCCATTCAAGAGGCAAACATTTATTAAAGCAAAACCTATCGTGGATTTGCGCCTGCTTCCTGGGAGAACGCGCCACTTTTGAACTTCTGCTTCTCACAGCTATTGAAGACTTGAGAGCCTGGGTGGGCTTTGGGGGAGGGGGAATCCCCAAATGGTCTGTGGCAAAGGTTCTTCTGTAGCAAGACGATTCCCGGGAACTTCTTTGCGAAGTGGGAAAGGCACGGGATGCCGCTTGCTGCGGGTGAAGGCAACCAAAAGGCAGCAGACTCGCCGTTCTGCAGATACTTCGCCAGCAAAGTTTAAAACCAGAGATAGACAGAGTGGCTAGATCTTCTGTAATTTAGGATACCGCAATGGCAATGCAACGGCGCAAACCTGCAGGTAGAACGTCCTTCAAACCTGCAGGTAGAAAGAGTCCTCCCGAGTCAATCGTTTACCATTCCTTGCTGGAGCTATTACTTTTTAAAATTTTGCTAAACTGTTGAACTAATAAAAGGCCATCCACCACCACACAGAGAACGTCGTATCAGACCCGCAATTCCACCAAAGTACTTGGGTAGAGGTTGTTCTTAACAGCCAGTCTTAAACGCACGAAGGAGACAAATTGAAATAAATGAAGCTTAGTCCCCAGTCAACAGCTTCACAGATTTGGCCGTTAATGGTTGGAAATTGTATGTGGGGGAGGAAATCGGAGTTGGATTGACTGTGCTGGGATTTCTCATGAGAGTGTGGTCGACTGGATTGGATTATTAACCATGTGCCATTTGATTAGACGACTGATAATTGTTATCAAGAGTCCCAGCTCCCCCCCCCTCGATCTTCAAAAATGCGTCCGCAAAATAAGACGACTAATGCCCCATTTTAAACACAACTTAGAAATAAATTCCTCTGAAACCAATGGCAGGTTCTTGCAAAATGAGATTAAAAATACCTATATGGACTAGAATTTAGAAATGCATCTATTTATATGGAAGTCTAGATCTCGGGATACACCTGGTGTATCCTTCGCTACCATTAAGAAAAACAAACATTAGGATTTGTTTTCAATAAGATGATTGTATCTTCAGTGGGCCCATTATGTAACTTTGATAAACGAAATGGGAGGGGAAAAGGCATCCATTCCTTGGCAATATTCCTAGAAGTTCCACTGGGAAGATGAGATCTTTAGCTGCAGGGTGATCTAAAATGCAAGCCTAAGAACCCATTCCTGGGAGTAAGACCCCCTGAATAGAAATGTGTAGGATTCTGAGTAGACGGGTTTAGGATTACTTTCTCGACGAAGGTTATCAGGGTGTTCACAGTCTTTGTCGCATGACGTTTGCCAAAAGGAGGCCTCATCTTGCCTTGCATACTTTCTGGTAGTGGGGCTGTGAAAGTCGGGTCATTTTCCACTGTCTCCCTCCCTCCCCCCTCCCCCCCGCTTCGTAGAGGAGGGATGCCTTTTGACATGGCAGCAACTGGTTGCATAGAGCCTGGGTGGCAACTGTACAGCGGGCCATGTCATTCAGGGAGAAACGGCAGCCCAGCTTTTGGGGGGGGGGGGAGAGAAGGGTTTGTTTACGCCTCGAGAATCTGCAAACCTTCAGTTGCCCGGGAGAAACCCAATGCTTACTGCAGTGCAAATTGCAAGAGGGTGAAATTGACACAGGGGAGGAAATTCTCAATGTGTATATAGGATCTGCGGTATCTCTCTATCTAAAATGCCAAGCAGTAACTAAGGGCCATTAGTTTAGACCCTCTCTCTCCCCCCTCCCTCTAAAAACGACTTCCCACCGGAGAAGATAAAGCAGGCGATAATGTTTCTTAAATAGACGCCCCTCTCCTCTTTCCTGGCGTTATCAGGAAGAGATAGAGCCGCTGGGCAGGGCTAGGTCATGTTATCTGCGGTCTTGGCTGCCGTCCCCAAACGCTGCCTTGTCATGGGAGACGCCACCCGCATTAGGACCCAGACTGGCCTCCTTCCGTCCTCAGTCACTCACCAAATCCCACAGACCCCACCGGGGCCGACAGTTCTTTCTCAGGAGAATTAGCCAGGCTCCATCTCAAAGTGGAAAGGGGCCGAGGGGTCTATCTAGAGAC